CCTATTCTTGGCTTGTGATTTCCCTGTAGCTAGATCAGACAAATCCAACCCTAGATGCTTTGCCTTTTCATTAGTCTTATATGTAGTTTTAGCAACATCCACCGCTTTATGATTCTTGCATCCTAAAAGTCCCCCATGTTTGCCTATTTGTGTCTCTTTGCCCCCTATATTCTTGGTTATTTTTTTCGTTGCATTTCTTGAGATAATATCACCTGCAACACTAACACTCTTTTCATCATAATCTGAAATAACCGAAGAGTAATCTGCAGCACTGGCTGTGACAACACTCCACTCGATACTGGCCTCGCTTGGGGCATACTGCGTAGGGGGACTCGTGCAAATCGACATATTTTGATCTGTTGTTAACAATGGATACACAGCGCCAGAAATGTTCTCGATTTCAAAGAGATCAGAACTGGCATCACTGGCCAAATCGTCACAAATTGTGCTGCTTCCAAGGGTAGAAGTTGGAAGATTTTGGCCTTTTGGGATTGCATCCCAGGTTAACATGGACAATTTTCTCTCCAGGTTTTTTGCTATGTCTCCCGTTGTGCCAGTTCCTGAACCGAAAACTTCCAGGGATTCTCGGGGTGCAGCCACTTTTATTTCTTCCTCGACCTGATTCTTAACAGACAATTTTTCTGCTTCTGGATTGGGAATTGGGAATGCAAAATGATCAAATCTTTTTGATCCTGTCAAATTTTCACTGATATGAACAGCTTTCTTGTCAATACAAGGTCCCTGGCAACGAAAAACTGAAAAAAATCTTCTTCCAGTTGCCTTTTTTCGCTTCATTTCAGATTCAATTCTCGTTGTCACATTCTGCTGGAGCGCAGTATGGCTGTTCCAACTGCTCGTTTCAGAGTAAAGATTCTGAGGTCCTGAACTGGAATCTGATCGTACTCGGGGAAAATTCACTGGTTTTTCGTTCTTACTCTCTCTAATGATTTTCAACTCATTTGCGTAATTAGAATTGATGTTGAAGTACCTTTCAGCGCCAAAGACTGTGATTTCACCATCTGTAGACTTAGTTCTTTCAAAATTCATTGGATATGGAGGCTCCTGAGGGAAACTAAACGCAGTTTTAGGATCCTGGACTGGCCCTGGCATCTTAAACACAAAGTTTTCTCCTGCAGGTTTGATGTAAAAAAAAAATTAATAAATTTGACGACTCCAACACGTTTGTCGTTTGATGAGCTGACTACAAACATAGTACTGGACAAGAAAAAGAAACTAAAATATTGTCTATATTATTGTGTGTGTGTTTATATAGAGGGAGGGAGGTATACTTGTATTAAAACGTGGCTTTGCAGTGGCTGGTGCAGATCTTCCCGAGCTTATGGAAATCGGATTCTCTTGAGCTGAAATTCTTTGTACCAAGTTATCTTTAGCAGTGTCCAGGTAATAAGAAAACGAGGCAACACGAAGATTAATGTCATCTTCAGTGTCCATGAATGCTGCAATTTTGATAACTCAGGCTTACTAGAAATTCCCCATTTAAGATCAACAATTGCAATGATCTGATTTACAAATTAAACAGAGAAAAGGAATATAAACCGGAAGAAATTTGGAGGAAGTACAATATGTAAAATGTCGTAAAAATCTTTGTCAAAGTTATTGTGGGATCTGTGGAAACAATTGCATCAGCCAAGAGAGCAACAACAAAGACAAATTAGTGATGAAACCCTGATGGGAAATTTCATAAAGCAGTGAACAGAATAGCAAGATATTTAAGACGAAACGTGATTGAACAAACAAAGAAAAGCAATGAATATTATGGAGTGAAGGATTTGTTTTGAGATTGGCTTTATGAAAAGCTGTCGTTTAAGTAGGCATGGCAAAGCCAGACTGTGGATCCTACATGTTTTGGGCCAAATTACGCTAGTAAAGTGACACAGTATTACACAGAGAACGTGTGATTGACAAGCATAGGCGATTCCAAAGAGTATGATGTAACTTGTTTACTAAGTATAGTAAATTTAAATTGTAATACCATATAATTGATTTTGACAGTCTTCGATAGGGCACAGAGAAACTGCGAAACCGCAAACCAAACCGAAATCATTGAGTTGAAACCGTTGATTTGGGTCCACGTGGACTCGTGGTTTATTTTCCCTCAAATTGAACCAAACCATTTTAAAATGGTTTGGTTTAGGTTTTGATTTTCAAAAACCGCACAAAACCCAACTGAACTGTTTTTAAATTTTTTAATTAAAAATTTTATAGTTTTCATGTTTCAAAAAAAAAAAAAAAATACCAATTTATACAAATTACAACCAGTCTATTGAAATAATCATAGGAAGTAAATTAGGTTCATCATTAATAATCTATGATTTAATAGGTTCACAATACATGTCCTCACCCGATATTTAAATTAAACTAAAATTATTCCAAAATCATATGAAATGAAAAATATATATATTTTCGACAATCCAAATTATAATTTAACAAAACTACGTCAGTAAATCATATCCAAAGTTTCAAAAACCATAACATAAGCTCTCATTTCCCCAACATTTGACGCTTGTCTAGCACTGCTGAACGAATCGCCAATCGCCTTTACCTGTTAGTCTACTAATCTCTACTTGAATCGTCTTTTTTTTCTCTTCTCTTTCGATAAGTCTTACATTCTTATTCAAATCATTTTTTCCATTGTTCTTTCTTTTATT